TAAGTACTAAGGGCAGATCTGTCCTTTCCTTTATGTACTGAACATAACCTATAAATACTAAGAGAGTGGCGGCGGCAGATGTGTTAGAATCTGTCCCTCCTTTCAACCCCTTGTGTTCTCYTGYTTCTCTTCTCTTCCTTCTCCTTTCTCTCACTTTTCTTCTGCTTTTGTAAACCTAAAACCTATTAGGATTCAAGACTGAATACAGTCTTGATCTTCTACTCATCTAACTTCAAACACTCCCCTTTAAGTTGGAGACTTGGAGTGTATATGTCATAAAGCTCCAACTTGTCACATATATGATCTATTCAAGCCCTGCTTAAACCTTTGGTGAAGAGATCGGCCAACTGATATTTTGACGTAACATATGGGGTAATAATTTCTCCACTTGTGACCTCCTTATTCAGATGCTCAACACTACACTTTCTTAGTCTTAACTATTGTACTGCATTACTAAACTAATGAAACCAGACTTGTGGTGACTGTTTCAGTTCGTAAATTGCTTTTTTAACTTGCATATCTTTCCTACCTTCCCTTCAGCAACATACCCAGGAGGTATGATTAAACTCGAAGAGCATGAAATTCCTCATTCACCGCCTTCTTCCATTTCAAGGAGAAAAGGGCTTCCTGAAGAGACCTAGGAACAGAAACAGAAGAGACAATAGACACAAAATTGCGATAGGAAAGAGATAAACGGAGACATAACATGAAATAGGATGGTCAGTACAAGAATATTTACATTTTGCAATACATAAATCTAAGTCGGATGGATCTGCCAACGATGAAACTGATGGTTGCTTAGTAGAGGCCGGAGCTTGTAGGAAGCATTAGTCCACATACTCCCTTCATGTACACTCTGTCAATTGGTGGCTATGTAGGTGCCTCAACAGTAGGAGTTGGTAGGGGTAGTAGGAATAGGAATATGAAGTAAAGGAGATAGAGACTCAACGACACAGAAGAAAGGAACATTTTCAAAGAAGGAAATGTCTAGAACAACAAAGAATTGATAGAGAGTGGAACAATGACATTTATAACCTTTCTGTGTTTGAGAATATCCCAAAAAGACACACTTTAGAGCACAAAAATCAAGCTTATTCAATCCAGGGCCAAGTCTATGAACAAAGAAAATACAGCCAGAAACACGAGGAGGAAGAAGAAATAAAGACATGGAAGGAAAGAGGAGACAAAAAGGAGATTCGCCATTAAGGATAGAAGAATGCATACAATTAATAAGAAAACAATACATAAGTACATCATTACAATAAATTTTAGGGATGAGCATCTGACTAAGGAGGGCCCGAGTTGTATGAATCAAGTGTCTATTCTTCCTTTCGCCCATTCCATTTTGTTGTGCGGTATGGGAATAGGAAAATTGATGAATAATATTGTGAGATTTAGAAAATGATTGGAAGGGTTTGCATTGTTCAGAACAAAACATTTTTATAGAAACACCAAATTAATTTTGAATTTTATCATAGAAAGAAAAATATTAAACAATTTTGAAGAGGCTTTTATTAAATATTATATATTTTTTGGGAGTGCTTAAAAATAAGTGCTTATT